AATGTCAACCAAAACACGAATAGAAAGCAAACTATAACGTGTAAAAGCAAAGTATTAAAAGTGTTGAAAGCCTTGGAAAAAGAAAACAAACAAATCTGGGGCAAAATGACATAAGGTTCACACAACCTGCTAGATAAATTCAAGTTTGCTAAACTATGGCTGAGTGTTTTGTAATAATCTTGGCAATGTATTAATGGATTGGTGTATAGTATGAACCCAGGTAACTGAATGATTTAGTAACTTTGGATCATAATATGTTGTCCAAACCAAGGTTGGTAGCAAGCAAAATTCCCAGGAAGGAGGTCTTGTGCATGGCTCTTCCTGAGCTTCTGCATTCACTACTCATCCAATTAACACATCTTATTAGGCAGTATTGGCTGAACCATGATTTATTAAATCATCTGCAGCTGATTGGAGTCATGAACGGCAAGATCAAAGCAAACTAACTCTACTGTAACTTAGTGCAGAATGAGAATTTTAATAGAAATGAGGAATTAAACCCTGGCTACCTCCCTACCACATCTTTTCCCCCAGAAAAATATTTTTTTTCTTCTTTAAATGGATATTCAAATGCAGCTTCAAAGAAAATAGGTAGTAGCTGGGTTTGCATAGCATATTTAGCCATGGTTAACTTAAAATTGATGGATTTGATGGCTGTGTTAACCACAGAGTCAACTCATTCTCCTAAAACCTTCTCTCTCTCTAATAGCAGAGTTACCATCTCTTTTTTTAAATTTAAATTGCAAGAGAGGAAAATATATAATCTTCCTGTTCATTTAGGATATAAATGGCTGGGAAAAAATTACAAAGATCCCCAGATGTAAACTATTGTGTGAAGAAAGCTACAGCAATTATTTAAATTCAAGCCTTCTACTCTGCTCCCTAAAATACAGAGAAAAAAATAAGATGACTGGAGGGAAAAATAAAAGAGGCAAGCTTCCAACAGTCAGAATTTGGGAAGTCAATTATTAGCAAATAAAAGTGATGTCTCATTTAAAGTCTGCCTTACAGGTATCAAATATAGTACCCCTTAGATCTAAGCTTTTGACATTACATGCACATACCAACATTTTAAATATACTAAACTTTAGCTACCATCCAATGTGCTATTAAGTGATTTTAGAATCTGTCTAGAATAATTTGATACTAGCACTTTTTAGATACAGTAGGTAAGTTGATTGGTGAGGCTATGTCACTCATACAGTATTGCCAAATGGGGACTCGACATCCCAGAGTAATGTTCTAATGGCACCCTTGTGAATGCTAACTGTCAGCTTTGCAATGTCTTTGAGATCGTGAACAGATATAAGGATCTGCTGACTTTCTCTTACATCAGCCCATCCCAGTTTCCCCTGTGGATTAATTATCACTGTTGTTCTTTGCTTCAAGCACAGTGTGATGCAGACCACTGTATTTGGAGAGTTTGCTGAGAAATGATACTTCCATCTCACCATCTCTGAAATTTGTAAGCAATAGCTCTGGAAGAGGCGGTAAGCATTACATACTACCATGGCTAGGTTTTTAAACACCTTGTGGAGTTACTAAGCAGAGAGGTCCAAACATAAAGCAAATAGCAAATACCGAGACTTCATCAGTAATTACTGCAGAGATTTCCAGGATGTACAGTAGATCAAGGAAGCAGAAGAGAATTCACTCCAGGGCCATGCTAGGAGCTTCCCCAGTGGCTTAATTATAAATGCTACAAAGTGTTATGGGAAAAGAAGTTTACATTTCTGAAATGTTGCAAGAGAATCTAACAGTCTATCCAATACTGCTCTGAATGTTAATGGATTTAGGACATGTCTCTGCACAGAAAGAATGTCATAGCTTTGGGGATATGAACCCAACACATTTAATTGTGTCACATGAATGCACAATTTGTCCTCAGATGTTGACAAACTTCCCAGCATCTCTCATTATTAGCCATATTGGGTGGAATTGTTAAGAGCTGTGGGTTCAGTTACACCAGGAGAGTTGTCTATGTTGGGCAATCATGATGGAAGTTATATTTCTAAGACCAAGAAATACAAAATTTCTTGTACAAAAATAGCAAAAATAGCTATTTTGTATACAAAAATAGAAAAATGATTTAAATTTGACCATTTTCCTGATAGTTGATAATACAGCTTATAATAATAATAATAATAATAGTAGTAGTAGTAATAGTAGTAGTAGTAGTAGTATTAGTAGCAGCAGCAGTAAAGTTGGAAGGGACCTTGGAGGTCATCAAGTCCAACCCTCTGCTCAGGCAGGTAACCCTATACCGTTACGGACAAATGGCTGTCCAGTTTCTTCTTAAAAACTTGGAGCATTCACCACTTCTGGAGGCAGGTTGTTCCACTGGTTAATTGTTCTAACTGTCAGGAAGTTTCTCCTTAGTTCTAGGTTGCTTCTCTCTTTGGTTAGTTTCCACTTGTTGCTTCTTGTCCTGCCTTCAGGCGCTTTGGAAAATACCTTGACTTCCTCTTCTTTGTGGCAGCCCCTGAGATATTGGAACACTGCTATCATGTCACCCCTCGTCCTTCTCGTCATTAAACTAGACATACCCAATTCCAGCAGCCATTCCTCATATGCTTTAGCCTCCAGTCCCCTAATCATCTTTGTTGCTCTTCTCTGTACTCTTTCTAGAGTCTCAACATCTTTTTTACATCGTGGTGACCAAAACTGGATGCAGTATTCCAAGTGTGGCCTTACCAAGGCATTGTAAAGTGGTATTAATACTTCACATGATCTTGATTCTATCCCTCTGTTAATGCAGCCCAGCACTGTGTTGGCCTTTTTGGCAGCTGCAGCACACTGCTGGCTCATATTTAAGTGATTGTCCACTAGGACTCCGAGGTCCCTCTCACAGTTACTACTATTGAGCAAGGTACCCCCTATACTATACCTGTGCATTTGGTTTTTCTTGCCTAAATGTAGAACCTTACTTTTTTCACCATTGAATTTCATTTTGTTAGATAGCTCCCAGAGTTCAAGTCTGTCCAGATCCTCCTGTATCCTAAGCCTGTCTTCTGGAGTGTTGGCTATTCCTGCCAGCTTGGTGTCGTCTGCAAATTTGATGAGTTCCCCATCTATCCCCTCATCCAGATCGTTGATGAAGATATTGAAGAGCACTGGGCCCAGAACAGAGCCCTGGGGCACCCCACTACACACTTCTCTCCATGTAATTGTGGTTCCATTGAGGACCACACGCTGAGTACAGCCAGTCAGCCAGCTATGGATCCATCTGGTGGTGATGCTGTCTAACCTGCATTTTTCTATCTTATCAAGTAGTAGGATAATTCTTATCTTTAAAAGAATTATTAGCAAAGCTTAAGAGGCCAACTTTTTATCATTTTTTTCATGCATTTGTTCTTTAGTAGGTGCATTTAGTAGTGAAACTTTCTGAAGTTATTTTAGCAAGTGGAGTTTTTTTCTGGCAGAAAGGGGAAAGTAACAGGGAAAGCATCTGATTCATATCCACATGTCAGGATGCTGTGAAATCACAGACACTGATTTAATTAAAAAAAAACCTACATATTGACAGGCATTGCCAACTTTTCAACTAACTCCTATAGGTGTCATATGCAAAAAAAATAAAAAATCAGAAAAAGTCATAATCACATAAAAGATACAGAACAATGAAGGGCTACCACACAATGCTACAAAGAGCAATTGAAAACTTATCAGCCTTATTAGTATCCTAGATCTGTGATAGCTTATACTCTTGAATAGGGTGCTAAGCTCTTGTCTCTAAAGGTTCTCTTTTCCTTAACAGTAATACAATGGGCCATAATTCAATAGCAAAAATTCAATTTTCATCATGGCAATTCCCTTCTATAAGTAAGGATAAAATTTCTGTTTATGTAGTTGTTAAATTAGACCTGGGAAATGAAGAAATTATCAACCATCTCCAAATCACAAAAAGAGCCACTAAGAAATCACAGATGACCAATAAAATTATACACTATTCATGTATATTATTTTATATGGTTTATTAGATGGATTTTCTTGAGTTATTTTAAGGGTTGAATTTAATTGTACACCGAGAGTCCTTGAGAAATATGACAGTATAACAATACAGCACATAACTAAATTAAATAGATAAGATTTAATTCTCAGGCTGCCACCCTCTTATTTGTAAGCAAAATTCTGCCTAAAGCTGATGAAAGCTGAGTATGCTGCAATCACGTTAACTCTGTAACATCTGAGCTTATTATGAGTTTTTTGTCAGGATACTTTCTTTTATTATGAGCATATTAAAGCTCTTGTAAGAAAAATATGTTGTAATTTTCCCTGAATGTTTGGAGTTGATTTTTTTTTAAAATGGGGTTCACTGTCAGTGCTTCTTGGCTTCTGTAATTTCTTCAATAAAATGCAATGGCTTTGAAGATGAAAGAAGTTATTTTTCACACAGATAATAGGATCTGTGGCAATCAGAAGACAGAGAAAGGTTCGTCTACATATTCTGCATAAATCAGATGGCAGGAATCGGTTTTAGAAGGATAAAGTCTGTTTTTTATCAGACTGTTGTTGGCTTCAATCCCAACAACAAAATCTCTTTTTAGAAAAAGAGAAAATATGTGCAGAATCTTGCACTGAATTGCTGGTGAACTACGAGCTATTCTTCAAAATATTTTCCAACCCTCAAGCCAGGATTCAGCTTTCTCTAAGAGGCTGAAAAAACATAGAGCAACATTATAAGAGCAAAGTAATAATTTGCATTTACAAAGCTGCTCTTATGTTTCTCATGTTAATTTTGTTTACATTATGTATAAACTTGCTCTGTGAACAGCAATTTTACAATGATTTAGAGCTATTTCTTGGCAAACTCCATACACTAACAAAAAAGAATTCACTACCATATAAAGTATACCTCAGAGTCATGCCCGCCCCTTTATTCTTTCTGGAGCTTGTTCAGCTTGTTCCTCAATCATGACTCAAGGTTGCAGTCCTACACACATTGCTAGGGAACTGGGATTGTAGAGAAATTCAAACTGAAATTCTACACTGTACCTACTAACCTGACATGATAACGTCATGAATCCAGTGATTTCCCACTTACAAAAGTCAACTTTCTCTTAATTTCAGTCTTCATCTCAGCAACACAGAGGGCAATATGGAGGAGACCATAGACATTTACCTTACAGGGGTGCTGCGAGAATTACATCTAAGCAATACAGGTAAGCCATTTGAACCCCCCCCCCCAAATTTACAGTAATAATATCAGACAGTACATCCCATTGAGGAAAGTAGGACATTGTATTTTCAAGGAAACACATCTGATTTAAAATGTATATAAATATTGGGTAGGCAACAGTTTCAGACATGGGCCACATAATAAGGAAGTGATGGGTAGATCTTCTGCATTCTGTAAGACATGTTATTTGAGCTTGTGGAAATTTATATTTAAGTAAGGCCCACAGCGTTTCCTCTCACTCCTCAATTGTTATTTCTTTAAAGTACCTGCTTCCTTTAAAAATATTTCTAGGATAGATCACATTTTTGAAAATGTGAAATAATAACTATATAACAGCTTGATAAGTATGGGCACACAGATTAAATAGGTATGGGAATATTAGTAATGTCAAAACCAGGAACATATGTCACAGATTAATTCTGTAATCGCATTACAGTGACGGTATAGGGGAAATGAAGCGCCAGCTTTAATGAATACAAGTCTTCCTTGCCAGATCTGATTTTGTAAAATAATACCATGGTTCGCAATGTATTCACGAAAGGAACAGATTTTATTAGCACTCCTTTACTCAGAAATAAAACCCTTTCAATTCACAAGGGTTTACTCTCAGATAATAAGCAGTGATGGAGCTGTAGCCTAAATCCGACAAGGAGACGCTCGTATAAGAGTGAATTTGCGACTCCTATTTAAAACGGCAACAACAAATACCAGTCAGTGATGCAGCGATTGTACCACACAACTAACGGGAAGCCAGGGACAGAGGAGACAGGACGCGAATTGCATCACCGCAAAAGGAAGCAAAATCGTTCCGATCAAGTTGGAAACGTGGAGGAGCTTCATCTCATTCACGACCGGCTAAGTAAGAGCGAAGGAGGGGAAGAGAAACGTCACAGGCTGCGACGGGCAAGAGAGAGGAAGTGCTGGAGGAACCACGTGTCTGCACCGACCAAGGCTGTGCTCTGGTCCTCATCTGATGCTTCTTGCCTGAATGCAAGTAGGGAGTCGGAAAGGTAAGAGTGAAGTGAGATTAAAGCAAACGGCTGTTTGAGGAATCGGGGCGGAGAAACGACACCAAGAATTGCACTTTGGTTGCCTCTGTGTAAGAAAGGTCACCCCATTCGTCACTCTTCTTTTGAGTAGAAATGCTTTAAACTTTACCAAGGAGGAACTTTACAATCTCCAAAGATCTTCAAAGGAAAGCAGGGCTCCTGCGATTTCATTAATTTTAAAGAACAGGGAATGCCAGCAGGGATAAAATCCTGAGTGCAAACAATGGTCTGATACAACACAGAAGTATTATCTTGCGTCTATTTTCCCCCTCCCCCTCTAGAAGCATCTCTTATTGAAAAGGTAAACAGGGACAAGTCGTTTGTAGGTCACAAGTGCAAACCAGACTGAAAAATGGGAACAATCATGAAAGTGCAGAATTTTTTTTTAAAAAAAGCAAGAGATGCATAAAATATGAAAATCCCATATTTTCTTTCAGTTTGGGTTTTAAAAAAGTCTTTAGTTTTTGAAACCTCTATATATCAATTGCATATTAAAAGTGCACAGGTAGAATGTTATACCTAGTCTGTTGAAACTCACAAAAGAAACAACACATAATCTAGCTGTTTCTAACACCTGGTTGTCCAACCTTTTGGCTTGCCTGGGCCATACTGAATGAAGAGGAATTGTCTTGGGTTGCATATAAAATATATAATTAATGCATATAAATATCATTTGTTTTTATTTTTAAAAAAATATTGTCTTATGGGCCCACATTACTAGCGGTCCAGGGCTGCATATTGCTTGTGGACATGCCTGATCTAACACTTGCTCCTTAAAAAATTGTTTATTGGCATTCCAAAACAAATCATGGTCCAATATATCAATTGGTTTCAAACAAATACTTCTCAGACTTCAGTCTGGAAATTAAGAAAGCAGTTTTCCCAGATGTCCTAGAGACATTGAAAGAACTCTTAGGGTGGAGGAAAAAACGTTTTGATAACTTCAGGAATTATTACTGCACAATCCTTATGGACTGCTATTTGGTTCATCAGATGCACAGAGTATAGTGCTGAAATAGGAATATTATATACAGCAGAAGACAAATGCCAGACAATTTTATGCATGGCTTAGTCACTGCTAATGCTATAAAGATGAGTCTAGCTATTTCATCTGCTATAAATGGTATGTTCTCTCTTGGAGAACAAAAAGGAGAAAAGGGCTCTTTAGCAAGGTTAATTGACTGATTGATTATGTGCCATCAAGTTGGTGTTGACTCTTAGGGACAACAGAAATAGATTTTATTCATGACAATCTGTTCCTAACCTGGTCCTTCAAGACTTTCAACAGTGAACTCAATGCCAGTGTAATTGATTCCATCCACCTTGCTCCTAGATGTCCTCTTTTTCTTTTCTTCCCCTTTCCCAGCATTAGCTTTTCCAAATTCGATCCTGCTTCTTTCAAGTCCAACTTTTGCTTCTATGGAGTGTCACAGGGAATACCATCACTTGCACAGTTCTGATCTTTGTAGATATAGACACATCATGGCATTTAAATATATTTTCCAAGGCCTTCAAGCACTCCTCTAGCAAGTACTGGTCTGTAGTGTAGTTCTTCACTGCTTGTTCCTGTAGAAGATTAATCCTAAAAGGCAGGAGTTGGGTACCACTTCAATATTTTCACTGTTGGTTCTAAGACTGGTAGTTTTACCTGTTGTCATTAGGTTGGCCTTTTAGATTTAATCTTAGTCCCATCAGCATAACATAGACTATTGATCCTTCTTCCTCCAATTTTAAAACCAAGCTAATCTTTCTCCAATCTAGCTTCCCTTTATATATATTCAGCAAATTATTGTACAATATGCTTAATTTCTAAGAGGTTGGCCCCTTCTCCAGTGATAAAAGGGGCAGTTGGATTGGTTGAGTGGTTTCTGTATTTTGCCTCATTCTAAGCTTCTAAGTATATCTCTTGATGAAATGGCCTATAATTCCAAGGGTGAGCACCAGAAGAAATTTGATAGACATTGATGTCTTGCATTTTTAAAAAATATAGGTAGTCCTCAACTTATAACAGTTCATTTAGTGACCATTCAAAGTTACAACGGCACTGAAAAAAGTGACTTATGGCCACTTTTCACACTTATGACGGTTGTGGTCACGTGAATAAAATTCAAATGCTTGGCAACTGACTCATATTTATGACGGTTGTAGTGTTCCAAGGTCATGTGATCCTCTTTTGCGACCTTCTGATAAGTAAAGTCAATGGGGAAACCAGATTCACTTAACAATCATTACTAATTTAACAATTACAATGATTTACTTAACAAATGTGGCAAGAAAAGTCGTACAATGGGTCAAAACTCACTTAACAAGTTTCTCCCTTAACAACATAAATTTTGTGCTCAGTTGTGATCTTAAGTTGAGGACTACCTGTATTGTTTTATTGTATTAGACTAATGGGATTCTTTTTTCTGACCATTTTTCTTTCCTGACACTACTCTGTACTCAAAAAGAGTACAGAGAAGAGCAACAAAGATGATTAGGGGACTGGAGGCTAAACCATATAAGGAACGGCTGCTAGTTCCTTATAGTTTAATGAAGAGAAAGAGAGGAGGGACATGATACAGTGTTCCAATATCTCAGGGGCTGCCACAAAGAAGAGGGTGTTAAGCTATTTTCCAAGGCGCCTGAAGGCAGGACAAAAAGCAACGGGTGGAAACTAATCAAGGAGAGAAGCAACCTAGAACTAAGGAGAAACTTCCTGACAGTTAGAACAATTAACCAGTGGAACAACCTGCCTCCAGAAGCGGTGAATGCTCCAACACTGGAGGTTTTTAAGAAGAGACCATTTGTCCAAAATGGTAGAGGATTTCCTGCCTGAGCAGGGGGTTGGACTTGATGACTCCAAGGTCCCTCCCAACTTTACTACTACTACTACTACTACTACTACTACTATTACTACTACTACTACTACTACTACTACTACTATTATTATTATTATTATTATTATTATTATTATTATATAGAATCTTTAGCAAGAGGAAATAATCCAGGAATCAGTGTTTTCTTTATACTATTATATTTTCAGTGACATTGTTCTTTAAGGTCCTGCAAGGTACATTATATCCTAGCACTGCATTTTCTCTTTCTTTTTAAAAACAAAAAATGACCTTGTTCCTGTTGTTTACTAGCTGGCAAATGACTTTTTTCCCTCCCACTTGTTTCAATACCAAGAAAAGCTTCATTTGCTTTATACCTGTGGTCAAGAGGTTTTTAGTAATATAACAACAAAGCCTTTTAAAAATTGGTAATCCTTTAATACTCTAGCACAGGCATGTCAAGCTGTCGGCCCGCCGGACACATCACGTCGAAACCGTGCCCACCCCATTGCTGGCAATGGGGAAAAAGTCCCGATACATCATGCGACATTGTGAGTGTGACATGCCTGCTCTGATAAGATAAGATAAGATAAGATAAGCTTTATTGTCATTTTTATACTGTGGGCACAATGGCACACATCAAAAAATGAAATTTAATTGCCCGCTCTCAGAGTGAAACACATACATGACACACACCTAAACATACTATGAACAACATATGTATAGACCCACATCCCTACATATACATAGCAAATAAATATTAAATATTGTCCATCTTGAATATATAATGAAAGGAGGAAGCTTGAGAGTTCGCAAGGTTAATGCTGTATGGAATGAAATTCTGGCTGAATCTGGATGTTCTGCTTCGGATACCACGAAGCCTCCTCCCAGAAGGTAACAAGGAAAACAGGTCGTGAAAAGGATGTGTAGTGTCCCAGATAATCTTACGGACCCTGCTCAAGCAGTGCTTCTGTGCTATGTCCTGGATGGGAGGGAGGGAACTGCCAATGATCTTTTCAGCCATTCTCACCACTCTCTGCACCGCCTTCCTGTCCATTAGCATGTACAATCAGAACATAAGTTAATAAAATCAAGAATGCAATTTGTAGTCCTGCACTCTAAATTGCATTTTGGCAGTAATTCTTTATTACGCTCATGTTTGGAAATACAACTCTACTTATGAGAGTACTCCTGTTCCTATCTACAAAGATCAAATGTATGGCGAGTGTAATTTATGATTACTAGATTAAGCATAGGAACCTTGTGAAATTATGACTTTTAATTTTGGTGGTCAGCAGTTAGGTGCTGAGATAAAAGATTGAATGATGATGCTGGCACAAGAGCTCAAAGGACCTTTTAACAAGTAATTGGAATGCTCCAAACTCTTTGGAATAGACACGGTGATTTGCAGGGTACAACGTGCAGTCAGGCATAACCCTCTTGCATTATTAATCCTCCTTCTCCTCTTATTAAAATTGTATAACATGTCATGTGGCCTGAGATATGTAACATGCAAATAAAAATGAATAAATAAACACAAACTTTTTTTTGATATGTCCCATAGCAAGCTTTTTAAAAAGCTTGTTAAAATTCAGAATGCACTTTTCTCCAATTTTCATATGTATCTGAAGAAGCAGCTTCTTCTTAAGTCTACCTAATCAGAATAGGCAACTTGACGTACTGTCACCACCCCCACCTCCGTGTATGTGACTTCTTAACCATTTTTTTTTGCAGCATTTGCAGCCACTTCCATTTGCAGTTGTTGAAAATGGGATGTATTCCAGCCAATTAGAGGTGGGAAATAGACTTAGTATGCTTCAGTGAATAATAAAAAAAAGTCCCCCAGCAAAGTAAATTCAAATTCTGCACAAAATGTTTGGTATGTCCCATTTGCTCTAAGTACAGTTCTTGTCCCTCCTTCTCCCAAATATTAAATCATCTTCCTGTATGAATGTATGCTGGATGTCAAATCTTGTTCAGAATTGCCAGACCTTGCAGGATAGTTGAAAACTTTCTGTTCAAGTTTGTTCCTAGGAATTTGCTATTCTAGAGAACCAGTTTGCTAGGTGTTAAATTGGACAATATGTTCTTCTGCAAGATAATTATCTAAAATTGCTATTCATGGGTACCTGACTCACATGCAAAGAAGAATTGGGATTTACATATGCATTCCACAGCATTTGGACTCTCCGAAAACTATATAAGTATCAATTTTAGATAGCCTGCTAGAGACTGCTACATCCTGTGCCTAGTCCTTTCAGTGGAAAAGACTGAATTTTGGACTTCTTGATGCTATCGAACTGAATTTGAACCACTCCAGCTGTTAGATTACTAATTTCTTTTGTGAGTTGCTTGTGTTTAAAAGGCTATTTAGGATTGTAGGATGATCAGTCCTCTCTAGTGAACTTTAGTCTACTGAGGCACCTGGTGACTAACATCCCCCCCCCAGCCTTTTAAGAGGAGAAAAAAGATTGTTTATATTTCTTCTGTCTTATTATGCCTTCTAATTTTTATTTTATTGTTGTGTCTTGTCCAATGGTGTTCTTTAGATGCTCTGGACTATAATTCCCATTCCTGGCTTTTATTCATTCTTTGGGGTGCTCATAGGACTTATACACCAAAATATCTGGAGGAAAGCAGTCTAGCGGATTGTCCAGGAATTAGAGCTACAAGTGGATAAGGTGGGTGGGTGGGTAGCAGGTGACAGCAAGAAAGAACAACAAGAATTGAAGTTGAGTAAAAACAGGGATTTCATGCTTCATTTCTATCCTGCCTTTCTTCTACTGTAGTAATGAATGTACATGTTCATGGGTTTCCAAAGTGATCTCCTTGACCGGCATTGAGCAAACACAGCCTGCTCAGCTCTAGTAATGAAGCTGTATCAGGTTACCTTTAGATCATTACTTGGAATTATGGAATCATGCTTTATTGGAGTTGGAGACGGGGAACTTAAATGAGAAAGAATAGTTGTGAAGAAGAAACAAGAATGATAGGCTAATATAAGGAGAAGCAAGGAGAGATTCTGAAATGTGTTTCCTTTTTTCCTTAGCTGCAAATAACCTGCCGGTGACAACATTATCGTGATGAGTTTTATTGAATATGGCGATACGATAAAAGAAGGGGACACGGCAATTGTCTTCTTGGGACATGAATCCATGTTTCCAGTGAAGGTGCAACATGGTGGTAAAACTCAGACTAAGTATGGTGTTATTAGACACTCAACTGACCTCATTGGAAAGAAGTATGGTTCCAAAGTAACCTGCAGCAAAGGAGGCTGGGTGTACATCCTTTATCCGACCCCAGAGTTATGGACTCTGAACTTACGCCACAGAACTCAAATCCTCTATTCAACAGATATCTCTTTAATCACCATGATGCTTGAGCTGAAACCAGGAAGTATAGTATGTGAATCAGGTAAGGGTATAAGACTCACTGCAGTGTTGTTGCTTCTTTTTGTTCTTTTCTATCAGAGGTTTCTGGTACGAATGACAATTGTTTATTTTTATTTATTCAATTTGTATGCTGTCCAATTCCAAATAACTCTGGGGAAACTCCCCCCCCCCAAAAAAATAAAGAGCAACATTTAAAAAAACCTACAACAAAGTAGATGGGAACAAAATACAAAAATAAGTACAAGAAGAGAACTCAGACAGTACTCCCAAAGGTGCTTTTCAAAAGGCAACTGGACTTTCCTGTTGTTGTTTTTTCATTGAAAACATTTCACTTCTCATCCAAGAAGCTTCCTCAAGAAATCAAGAAAAAAAACCAAGGAAGTCCAGTTGTCTTTTGAAAAGCACTCTTGGGACAACCATGAGCTGGATGATTGAGAATTTCCATAGATAAGCAACCCAGATAACAGACCAAAACAAAAAACATCACAGATAGAGGAGTCCCATGCAATGTACCTCAAAGCCTACAAGAATAGCCAGGTTTTAAAACTTTTTGGAATGATCTTATGGGGGACTTCATTCCAGAGGGCAGGCTCTACTACAGGGAAATTGTGCTTCCTGAGTCCCAAAGATAATACTGGGTTGACAGGGGGACCCAGAGTACACCCACTCTGCCAGATTGTCCTGGATAGGAAGAACCCACAAGAGATAGGCAGTCCCTCAGATAGCCAGGCCCAATCAAATACAGAAACACATTGGCAGTCAGTACAAATTAGAAAACGGATGCAATATGGGCAAGCAGAGGCAGGCCCATCACTATTTGCTAATGCAAAGAATGAGTGGTAGCTATGGCCCAAAGGGTCTTTCATAGGTCCATTTGGTGCACCCTTTTCTACATCAATCAAACCTTCTGTCACTTACAACTATGTCACTTCACTGCTCAGCTACTGCAATGTACTCTGTATGGAGCTACTCTTAAAAGACCACTCAGAAGCTTTAACTGGTCCAGAATAACAAACTCCACATTCTGGAGAGACAGGACCATTAGTTTGAAAGAGAGGCAAAAGAGGCCATTGATGTTAACATTGAGCAGCCCTCACTGAACAGAGAGAGAGGGATAAAACACCATCTATCTCCTGTCTACAATGCAGTTCTTTCAGCAATTCCAAGAAAATTCCACCCCATTTGCACTCTGATACAAGTGATCCTAAGGGCACAGATAAACCCACAAATGGCCTCAAGAGCTCTCAGGGAGAATGCTAATGACTGGATGACTGCAAAGAAATATCCTTCCAACAACCCCCCCCCCCATCCTATCAGAACTAATCCTTCCATTGCCCCCACCATCCTGCCAGAACTGATGAAGCTTCTTGAATGAGAAGGGAAATGTTTTCTTTTTCCTCAAGGAAAAAACAATCCAGTTGTCTTTTGAAAAAGCACTTTTGAGATTGTGTTGGCTTGATTCTGTTCTTTTTTGTGTGGATGATTCCACTATCCAGAGCTTGATCCTCTCTATTTTGAATTTTCCTGAAATTTCTAGAAGACATCATCAGCCAGTGTGGGTTGCAGTATCACTAAGTTCATGGTATCTAGTTGTATTTCTGCACCCAGGGGAGGTGGAGGAGATGTGGTAGAAGTCTTGACCTGGTCCTTGAAAGATATTGGAGTCTAGGTCGAGAAAACAAGGTCGTGTTTAATCCCTGAAATAGAGAATAGCTGGCTATTTAGAAGCTGACTGACCCCAAGATAATTCCGAACTGAGCTGTGCACCTCCTGAAAAAACAAGTTCAGAATCTGGGTTCTTCCCAGAATAAATAATAAATGGGAATCATGACCTTGAGAGGTTTGGCTCAGCATTGGCTGCTGCAGCAGCTATAAACTTCCCCAAAATTTTGGGGACACATAATATGATCCTGTATACCATTGTCATCTCATGCCTGGACTATAATAAGTACCTCTAATTAGGCTGTCTTGAAGACCATTCAAATGCTTTAACTGGTACAAAACGCAGCAACTTGCTTGGAAATTGACGAGCACTGTTATACTCACATACCACTTCTCTGGAGGAGACACAATGATTATCAGTTTGCTTCTGGGTGTTATTCAAGATGCTAGATATAATTATAACAACCTAAATAGCTTGGGATCTGGGTAACTTGCAAGACACCCAGTAATTCCAGCCGAGAGACACACTAAGAATCTCCACCCTGGTAGATATAATAGGAAGGACCCAGAAATGAACATTCTTTGGTAGGGTTGTTTGGATCAGCTTGCTACATAAAATGAAGTTGGCCACAAACCTTTAAAGTTTTTTAAGAAGTAAAAAATAGTTAAAACATTGCTTTGTTGCTGATCTTTTGGAGACTGAAGGGTTTAATGTTTAAAGGAGGAAGGAAGTTTCCCACAGGTTTTCAGGTGAGGAGAATGCTGTGTGGAATACAGGATTATTCAACATTTATGGGTGTTGCTAGTCATTATATTTTTTTACTTACTGATGTTCCATTACCTTATGTAAAGAGTTTAGATTTGTAAGACCAAAGGGGTTTAGAAGTTTCAGCAGTAAATAAATAAATAAAACACTTTATATATGAAGAAGTACTGTATATGAATGCATTTTCAAAAACTTTGTAATCATTTAAAAAAATGGGGAAAAAATGGAATCATGCATGTAGGCCTGCAATGCTAAGATAGTCTTGGCCTGCATAAGTCAAGCCAAATTCCCAAGAAACCCCCTTATTATGATTCTGCTATGTGCTGTAATGCTAGGGCCTATTCTAGCCAAGTCTTTACTGGAACTTTAGTAGAAGGACACATATGAATTTTGGGTGAAAGTAATGCAATTGCATAATCTTGGCAGGATTCTGATATGATAGTATCTTTCTTGGACTGCACTAGTGCCATCTGTAGTTGTGCTTCCTTATTTGGCAGGATGTTTCTCTTTCTCTCTCTCTCTCTGTGGGAAACTTTATGACTGGTAAACAGTTTCTGGATTGAATACCCTCTGACGTGCTAACTTTGAAACCCTATGAAACTTTGCCATGCTCATTTCATTAGTTACTCTGCCTGAGGTTAGGTTGAGAAATTCAAGATGGCAGATTTAATCTCGTGTCTTGTAAGTAGCTACATTATTAAAACTTCAATAAATAAAGATTCCATTTAGAGAAGCAAACAGGAAGCATCTGTGGGTGGAAAGGGGAATTGTTTCTTTTTCCATGTGTCACAAGAACTTACTACAAGTATTAGGACTGTAACGGCCCTTCCTAAGTAAAGCACTTCTCCATATCTGCCGCAAAATGCAGCCTCAGCTTCTTCCCCTTTCGCGAGGTCTTCATAAGTATGCATGTCAGAGGATACTTCTGTCAAGATAATTGTCCCATTGGAAGGATTTGTAAGCATGCATATGAAACCTTATAAAATCTCCGCCTCCTTGAAATAGATGCACTCAGTCCTGAAATGGCTGGTTCACACTGGGAATCTACGAAGGTGCTTTAGTTATTCAAAGAATCTGCCACTTATCTGCCAATAGGTTTCTCCCTTTATATGCTTATATGCATAGGCTAGTGCTTTTTTCAGTAGGCTCAATACATTTTGCGGATTTATTTGCAAGCATGGTTTAGGATTTGTTAGCCAAAAAAGGTTTTGATTATTTGACCAATTAAATCATTACTAAATTACAGACTAAAAGTATCTGGAATTTCTTTACATTCTCTGGACTTTAAATGTAATTGATGTGTCCTTGCTTGTTTTGAATTGAGATCTTGTTTAACTGATGAAGTGTTTGCTAAGACTAAGAGCAGCATTAGGGGAGAAAAATCTTTGGAGCAAGGGTGTAAACTAAATTTACTGTACATTTAACTCTCAATAACAATAGTTAAAATAATTGAATGAGATTTGGAAGAGGTCATTTAGACCAGTGGTTCTCAACCTTTTTAATGCTGCGACCCCCCAACCGGTTGTAAGTCGAAGACTACTCAACCGGTCGTAAGTCGAGGACTACTCAACTGGTGCAGCACCCTTTGCAGATTGGGACTTTTGGCAGGCTCAGCAGGGCAGAGACAGCCTGGACAATTCCTATTGGCTTTTGAAAGCCAATAGAATTAGACTCTATTCAAGAGAGTCTATTCTATTGGCTTTCAAAAGCCAATAGAATAAAAGGGAGTAGCACAGCTAAGGAAAAGGGGGAAAAAATGGCGGACTGCGTTGTTTGGCGACCCCCGTGAAATGGTCGTTCGACCCCAAATGGGGTCCCGACCCACAGGTTGAGAACCACTGATTTAGACAATCAGGTCCAACATTTTGCTCAGTGCAGGAATCCAGCCTTCCAGAGAGAAGACTGTCTGTTCTCTGTTTGAAGAGATCTACCAAAGGGGAGCCTGCCACCTCTCTGAGTAATTAGCTTTGTTGTTGTACTACTCTTAACTAGGATGTTTTTTGTAACATATAATTGGAATCAGCCTTCTTGGAATTTAAGCCCACTATTTTGCATCCCACAGTTGAAATAAGAGAGTTTTCAAGTATTTGAAGAGTGCTTTAGTAGCCCTTTCTGGAAAATAACCATATGCACCTAATTCAGTATTTCTTAACAGGATGCAATTTTTAGTTATCCAGTCATTTTCATGATGCTTATCTAAACCTGTTCCAATTTCTCTGAATTCTTCTTAAAGTGCAATGTCTAGAATTGGATGTAATACTCAATGTACCAACTGAACGGGAGTATTAATTCCAATTATGTGTTTAATATTTTCCCCATTCAATTTCATTTTTAAAAATGATAAAAAGTTTTAGAATCTTTAGCAGTCTTTGGGAACTGAATCAAAACCTTTATTTAACTATATGAGACCCCAGGACTTCATGTTGGATTTTTCTACACTGGACAGTAATTGACAGGAGCTACTTGTAAAGAAGACTGGCTTTAAAATTGAAGATTAAATATCCAGGGATCACATTGACAAATATGAATTATATGTTGTTTCAGAATAACTGTACCAAGCTATGGAATTATATTAAGCAAAATTTATCGAAGTG